CTACATGAATGACAAAATTCATATTTCTGCTGACAGATATTTCCTTATGTACTTCTATAATACTTCTATAATTTACCATAATGCTGCTGTAATTTATTTACCATCAACCACTGGACTGAGCAAATGCCAAGCTGGAATAAAATTTCACTTTTGCTTGTTACCTTGTGTTCTTATCATTGCAATTTTTTTTCACTAAATGCTGCCAAAATTTTCTGCTGCTTACAACTCAATAGCCTGCTTTTGAGCCAGACAAAAATGTGAGTTGTTTCAGAAAACGTGGTAAAATAATGCACAAAAACTTTAAAAAAACATATAAGAATGAATCCTAACAGGCCAATCATTTGTTCTCACTGAACAACTGTTCTCTTCTCTATGTTTAAAATACCTTGGAGAAACAACATGTGAAATTTTTGTTAGCCTGAATTCACTTTCTTGACTGTCTTGACATAATTTTTCTTCCAGCTGTGCAGTGTAGGAGTTAAATTTTCAGAAACAGAATTTTTAGCTATTGAATTACTTTACAAGAAATACACTCCTTCTCCCTCTCTGGTGAAATACTGAATAGTTTAAAACCTTTCCCTCTCTTTATTCTTTGTAAAACCCTATCTCCTTATTTAAAAATCAGAACAAACATCTACTGAGGTCAACAGAAAGACTTCACTCAGTGGCAGTTCTAATGCTGTTTAGCTGTCAAGGACTCATTGACAATCATTTATGTTGTCATATTTAATATTCAAATGCACTTAAATTTGGGCTGATGCAGTTGGAAAATCAGTTAATGATTATGCTGTTATGACATTCTCAGGAAGATGGGCATCTGCTTCCTAATAACAAGCTGGGGGAAAGATGTTTTCTGGGTCTGTCTGGGATAGAGCTAACTTCACAGCAGCCCAGACAGTACAATGCTTTGGCTTCGTGATTAAAACAGTGCTAGTAACATACCAGTGTTTCAGCTACTGGAAAACAGTGATTGCACAGTATCAAGGCCTTCTCTGTTTCTCCCTCTGCCCCTCAGTGAGTAGGTGTACAAGAAGTGGGGGAGGGACAAGACCAGGACAGCTGACTGGAACGGACCATAGGGATATTCCACACCATATAACATCATGGTCAGAAATAAAACTGGGGGTGGGGGAGGTCTTTCCAAGGTAGCCATTGCTTTCATTTCAAAAGTAGAATCTTAATTACTTCCTCCAAATTATACTTTCTTTAACAAATGAAAAATCTATATCACACTTTTTCTTTCCTTTACAATTTAGCAGCCAGGATTTTTTGTGTGACATTTACGCAATTTTAAAATAAAGAAGCATTTATTCTTTCAGGAATTTGACCTTTTGAAGGGTAAACTAACTCTACATCTAGCAAAAGAGTTGGGGTTATCTGCATTAGCACTTATTTTAGACCAGGAATATACTTCTGAAGTGAATTTCCTGGTTTTCCTCACCTTTCATGTCTTGGTTCACACTGTGGAATAGGATCAGAGCTAAAAAAAATGGGCTATTTTCAGACTAAATTAAACTGGAAGGTGTGCTTCTGGATGTGCTCCAAGTGCTAACAGGCATACACACCACAGATTAGAATCTAATCCAGCTACAACCACAAAAAAAGAGTATAGTGCAGATGTCAGGTCCTCTACAGAACAGAAGTGGAAGAGAACCAGTTATTTGGTTGGTATTCTGTGAACTCAGAGCTTCCTACCTTTTTGTGACACCATAAATTTCTTCTATAATAACCTGAAGAACAGCACGATAAAACAATGATTCTGTAGGCAGCTGCAAAATATTTTACAACAGTAAGGATTTAAATTGGCACTGAAATTAAGATCAGAGTAACAAAACCAATATTGCCTTCCTTAACTCCTTATTGATTTGTATTCTTCACAATCAGTCATAAAAGGTTTAAGGAGACAATTTACTAATGTTCTTGCATCCAGTTAGAATTGTGGTTTTGGATCATATTCTAACACAATCGTAATGCGAGAAAAAAAATAAAGAGACCCAAACTCTGAAGATCAAAGGTTGATAGAGGGAAAAATAACAGAGGAAAACATACTGATAAGGATCCAAATTCTAATATGCAAAATAAATATAACAATTTACCTCATCTCTTTTGAAGACAAAAGGAGTGATTCCCTAGCTGAATCATCATACACTGCAGTATGAACCATGCAGAAAGTACTATGCTAAAAAATCCCCAGAATATACTGAAAATTTCATACCTTTGTGTATGAAAAACCTGATTGCATAAAAATAGTTAATGACTGTCAATTAAAAATTAACAGAAAAAGACTACTGGGGTCAGTGGGCTTACAAAGGGAGAGAAGTCTCTCAGCCTCTTTTAAATACTTGCACAATTGGTGTCCACTATCTCCTAACGGATACCTTGCACAACAATATTTCAAAATATCCACCGGGAAAAAATATACAGGGATTAAAAATGAGAATGATGTTCATGCTTTTGTCATAACAATGTATATTTTTACATTAGTTGATAAAACACTGGGATAGAGTGATCCAAACCAGGGACATCATAGGACATTTGCACTGAATTTATGTATTAGTTGAAAGATAGCGAAAGAAGTTAGGGAGGGTAGTTTAATGCCTTAAATTTCAAGCTATGCTTTTTTTTCCTCAGACTCTTAATTGCCAAAAGAAAACAAATTCACCAAGTACAATCACAGCAATAAAAAAGTGATTACATGATGACACATGCAACCTATCAGGATTTGACATAGTGTATGCCAGCATTTTAGAGTCCAGATATGCAGAAGTTCAAAAAAAGGTCATGGATTAAGAATGTTCAAGGGGAAAAAAATACATTTTATCTTAGAATGGCTAAAATAAACAATATTACTTACCATTTGGCCAACTGCAACTCGCTCCAAAGCCTTTAAGAGTCAAGGAATTAAATTGCTGATATGTTTATTCTTTCTCATAACATTTTATAAACACATTGTATAAAAGTCAGAGGAGATGACATTTTTAAAGATTAGTGGTGTGACGTAACACGAGTTTGCACACTTTAAAGTGTTAATACTTTTAGGCACTCAATCAGCTATTCCTGTTATTTTGGTTTATTTATAGGAGAAGCAAAGACATCCGACTGTGTGGAAATAGATACATGCAAAATTTGTTTGCTTTCCTTTGAATTGTAAAAGAATTTCGGAGCATTACTTTCCATCAAATTGCTAAAAAGAAATGCATTTTTGTGGAGTCTGTTCCTACTGAAAAACAAAAAGGTCACTTTGCATATTTAACTATGGTAAATATTAGTTCAATGTACAATATTAGTTTTAATCCCTAGTACTAGGTAGATAAATTGAACTTTTGTATATAAACTTCAATAAAATAAAAAAACTTGAGACTGCAGTTTAAAGTATCGTGCATTACCTTTCACTAGATTCTTACCATAAATGCTGATGTAGGTGTGAGACAACTTGATTTTTATGCTCCATAGTGACATCGAATGACAAATAATTAGATGCATGGAATACACTTTCACAGTTGCAAAGATACTGTGCCTATAAAAATTTCATCTGGCTTTTAAAGATTGTAGTAGAAATGAAGACAAAATCTCAGTAAATTATCTGATACTACATCAAATTAGATAGCAAAGCAAAAATGTCTCATCACTTATGAGTCGTTGTCACCTTTAAGCCCCAAACTTCACAGCAGTCAGACTGCTTTTCACTCAGTCACCCAGCCCTCCTTCTCCTAGTTTTGGAACTAATCTTGTATTTCAGATGGTTTTTCAAACACAGACCAAGTAGCTGCCATTCCTCCATTCATTGCTTTGGCCAACTACCAGGTTTGCCTTTTGCCATGTAAGCTATAGTCTCATACCAGCACATATCTGCTACTGCTTAGGAGATGGATGTGGGTTCTAACATGTATTGTAATGGTCTGAAACTGAAACTCTCATCCAAAATCTTTGGCCCTTGGCATTTCAACCAATTCGAGTGACATGTAACAATGAATACCAGCAATAATACTGAGTGTCACTGCTCACTGACTTACTCCTAGCCAGCCATTACCCCTAGGAAGGTGGGTGCTTAGTGGCACTGTGCTGACTCTCTTGTACCTCCTAGAAGGCAAGAAAAGTTCTGGTCATGAAAAATACATATAGAGAATTAGAAACATAAGAGTAGAAATATCTAGTGACTCAGGAGAACTCTTTGTCTTTCATGAATGTTGAAACAAAAGAAGTTTTTAACTTTCAAATTTCTGCGATATCTGAGAAATCTAAAATAGATATATATGGCATGATCAGTACTGTATCTTCGGGGTAATTTGCTTACAAAATTTATCTTCCTACCATTGTTGAAAAACAGCCCAAACTTTATCTTTCCAAAACAAATGGAATAAGAAAGGAAATAGCTAATGTGTCAGCCGAGGAAGCATTGGTATTGTATGACGCTTGCATGAAAAAGAGAAAGCACTTTTTGTAGTTAGTTTTTCAGCAACATCTCTAAAATGAACAATTATTTTCTTTTTCCTTGCCAAGAGCAACATATTTAAGCCTTATGAATACTAAACAACTGTCCTCCTGTACTTTCTCCTGATAGCATTTAATTATCATGGTAGTTCAAGTTTATGTAACCTCAATACATTAACCTATACCGAGTCTTTACTCTACACTGTTCTCTGTAACAGACATACAGAGCTAGCAGCAGAAGCTAGAGAGAGCCTGATGTGATTCATCCTGATACCAGAAATTAAAAATTAATAGAGGAAAGGAATAGTGGTTTTCTAACTAAAACAGTGGTTGAAATTTTCAGCACCTATCTGTTTTTTTAAAACAGACAACAGCTCATCATCCTGTCTTGATGAGGTCTTTAAAAGTACTTCACCTCTTGCTGCAATATTAAAAAGATGTTTCCAGACTCTTAAGCCACATGGATTCTTGAGCTCCTCTAGTTTGTGGAACAGGCAGGTTTCTTCAGGTTTTAAACAGTCAGAACATTCAATATTATGAATCATGAAGGCATTGGGGGAGTTACTGATTGCAATCCTTCTACAATTACCTTGTTTCCCCCTAAGTCCTTGGCCAGGAACTATTACCCTGAGGGGTTACCTTGTTTTGGTTTCAGCAAAGGTTTGGCCTTTCTGTCCGCTCTTAAAATACATTTCTGTCAGTACTCATTTTTTCATGCCTTCAGCAAGTATAAAATATATAAAGCTGAAAGGTCAAAACTATTTTTTTTAGATGCAATTCATCATGCTTACAACATTAATGATGTTATTCTGTAGAGTCTTGGATTAAAGTCATGGCTTTAGGATTAGAAGCCAAAACCAATGAATCCTATAACATCTGGATAAAGCTCTCAGTGAGGAGAAGGAAAAGAAGGGGAATCATACCAAGCATGCTGACATTCTAGCATTGCGACCACAGCACCAGCCTTTGTCCTTCAAGTACTGACACATGGGAAATCCCCACACCTTGTCGCAGCATTCTGCAAAATGGAGAGAAAAACATAAAGGTACAGCTTTCATGGGCTATTTTTCTCTTACTTACAGAATATACAATGGATTGAGCAAGATGAACAATAGTTAATGGTAGCAGAAACACTTAACTGTTCTCATCCAGTACCAAATCTGTGGTGGTGCAATAAAAGACATGTTTTCCCCATAACAGATGTCTTTTGTTTATGCTGAATTTCTGATAATTTCACATTTTCCAAAGCAATTTTAAGTGAATGTCCTTTAGCAAAATCCACTGAAAAAAAGACATTAAAAGGGGCAACAGAAAAGTTTGCAAATACTCAAGGCACCCCATGCCATTCCATGAGTCACAAGATGCAGGCCAGGCAGGCATCCAATGCAGCAGGACTTCAGAATTACTTCTCATTGCATTCTTCTGCCATAAACATATTTTAAACATCACACAGAACAATGTGTACTTGTTTATTCCCGGTCTGAAGGACCATTCTGCTGCAAGGCAGAATGTTTGATTTCCAGAAAAGAGCAGCTGCAAAGGCTCTTGCTGTTTCTTCAAAACACCAAGAAGCATTTGCATCACAATCTGTGCTGTTTGTTTCAGTATCATTTATATTTTGAGTAACAACACAATTCTTCATGTTTAACACTAATGCAAATGTGAGAAAAATAAAGTATAGAGATTACTTTATAGATGTTCTTAATACTCAGTTTCAAATTTAGACAAACTCTCAATGTTTAGAGTTTTCATTAGCACATATGTCAGCTGATTATTTTAGAATGCTGAATAAGAAATACTACTTTCTTTCAAAAAAAACAACACAAATTGGCTGGGATCCTGGCATTTTAGCACAGGAAGATGACTGGAGCACATTTAAGGATAAATCATGTAATGGGGTTAAAAAAAGGACAGCAGAAATACAACTTTCCAAATTTACCTACAATCTGAGATACATACATGCAAGTAGAATTCATTTCATTAAAGTTAAGCAAGGAAAAAGAAAAATGAACCTCAGCCCCAGGGTAAGCCCTTACTTTTCTAGCAGTAGTGCCCAGACTCTGCTGATCTCTAGCCAGTAACAAGCAGGTATTCTGCAGGCAACCCCACACTTTGCTCTCTTTTTAGCCCTGAGCAATGTCAGAGGATCTTAGGGGCTGAACACTGCTTTGAGGACCATGATTTAAGAATAGTATTTTAATTCTGGATAATTAGCAGAAGGAGAAAGAAAATTCTTCAGAAATAAAGAAGAAATTTGACAAAACAGATTGCAATTGGTTTTAGCACTAGGAATGTATGAAGAATTTGTAAGTGCCTCATGACAAGCTCTAAAACATTAATTAACTTCAAGTCTAATTATGGAATACATGAAGCACATGGATATTTCTACTGCAGGGATGGCAATAAGAACTTATTAAATATATTTTTTGAAAAGAAAACTGTGTGCAGTTTTGGGCACCACAATATAAGAAGGATATAAAACTATTAGGGAGCATCCAGAGGAGGGCTATGAAGATGGTGATGGGTCTAGAGGGGCAGCCATGTGAGGACTGGCTGAGGTCACTTGGCTTGTTCAGCCTGCAGAAGAAGAGGCTGAGGGGAGAGCTCATCGCTGTATACAACTCCCTCACAAGGGGAAGTGAAGGGGCAGGCACTGATCTCTTCTCTCTGGTGACCAGTGACAGGACCCAAGGGAGTGGCCTGAGGCCAGACCTGAGTGGCCAGGGGAGATTTAGGTTAGATATTAGAAAACAGTTCTTTGCCCAGAGGATGGCTGGGCAGTGGAACAGGCTCCCCAGGAAAGTGGTCACAGCACCAAGACAGAGAGTTCAGAAAGCATTTGGACAATGCTCTCAGGCACAGGTTGTGATTCTCAGAGATGTCCTGTAGAGGGCCAAGAGTTGGACTGATGACCCTTGTGGGTCCCTTTTAATTCTGAATATTGTGTGATTCTGTGAATTCTGTACATGCACAAATGATTACAAGGAAGTTCAAGGGAATGGGACAAGCTTCTATAATACCTTTAATACTAGGCCTTCCATATATTTTAATCTCTAAGAATAATACTACAATTTCTAGGTGTTAACATTTAAATTTTACTTCACAAAGCTTTACAGCAAAATACAGTCTTTTTACAACAACAGGACCAACAGGTTTTACTGTTACTGGAAAAATAAGCTTAACTTGAATTCCATGGGGTAACCCAGATCAGAAAGGTGTGGAGGCAGCAATGTTGGTGCAGTGTCATATTCCCCTTGCCATGCCTTTTCCACCTTCCATGACATCATAGAGTCACAGTTTACTTCTGTTATTCCAAACAAAATAGACAAACTACTTAACTGCCTTTTTCCTTCATGCAAAAGACAAAATATTCTTTGGCCACATAATTCACAGGTCCTTGAGTTTGTATTTTTCAAAAAAAATCCCATCACTAAGCAGGATTTTGCTGGGGAAAGCAGGGGGCAGTGGGGAAGAAAAGTTCTTCTGTTTCAGGAAATAAAGTCAGTTGCCACCGAAATAGTTTTCAAAACCAAAACCTAAGCTATGTTTTATCTACTGTGTATCATGAAAACTTTGGCATTCTCAATTCTAATCTCTTACTCTCTGCACACAGAAATAAATATAAATGTACCATGGTTTCAGGTTTTAATATATTCTTGCTACATTTATTAATGAAAAATACCTTCGTAACTTCAATGGGTAATACTTCCATTTAACATCTGTAAAACTTACCTAGTTAATATTTTTTCAAGTTTCATCTTTTTTTTTAGGATCAATTTTTATAGAAAACATCTGGGGTTTAGTGACTAGCTAGCTGTGTCACAAATACATAGAAATGTGCCCTATGCAGCAATATCTAAAGATGCCTTGGGAAGGGAAATGAAGCTTTTTGATCTTTTGCTTGGAAGTGTTTTCCTGTGTTGCCATGGCATCAGCGATAGCTATTTTAAGACACTGACTCTGGCATATCTTTGAAAATATACCTAAGCAACACATCAATTATCTGTAATCTAATACTTCTAAAACAGTAAGCAATCTTTCATATTTCAGCAGAATGGAGTGATATGAAGCCATTATGTTTGTGTAAGGAATCATCAAAATCAAAATTCAGTTTAAAAACTTTAGTCCTCCAAATCCACCTTACTCAAGGCCTTTTCAGGTTTCACAAATCTGATAAAATTTGGTATGTGAATTTTGACTACACTTTCCTTTTGGTTCCCTTAATTATGTTCACTAGCTTTTAACAGTCAAAATTTATTCTGCAAATGCTTTGCTGACTTCTTCCAAAGTGCCTTATTGAAAAGCTACTCTCCACAGCTTCCAGGAGGGCTCTAGAACTCCTCTGCCCAGCAGTGACCTGACATTGGAAATCCTTACAAAAGCTAGAGTTCACCATCTGTAGTACTCAAGCCAACCTTAAAAAGAATTTCTATCAGTCAGCTCACTGAAAATACCTCTACAACTACACCTATGACTTCTTTCAAATAGCTGAATACTTATAAATAAGTAGCTCCTTAGCAATAGTAACATTTATGTGGTTTTTTTCTCAAAATGGAGGATGTAATATTGAAGAATTTCACTGGTTTCTAGACTAGTATTGATGTGTTCGGTGGTATGGAGGATGGAAGGAAGAGAATTAGAATACAAAACCACAAATTCCTTTATAAGAAAAATCATTTTGAAAAGATCTTAAATTTGCAGTTACTGTCTATTAGGGGATAATCATAGTCCAGCTGGTACACTGGCCCAAAAATGTATTAGCTGAATGTAAGATAAAACAGCACCCAAAAATCCTAAGGATAGCTCCCAAACAGAGGCACAGAGTTTGTTTTAACCTAAAAGTCATTAGGAAATTGATTTTCTCCTAGAATAACTGCCATAATGGCTCACTATGTAAAGAGTTTCATGTAAAAAGGATCTAATAAATACTAAAATCCTTACTACTCTGATGTAATTGACTACTTGATGCAGTAACAGGGAAGAAAAACCCCAAATGAATCAATTATACAAACAGCTATGTATATTTTAACCATAGAAGAATTCTCCTCAGAGAGAGAGCCAAAGTAAAAGTACTTAGAATTTTCCAAGAGCTGTCATAATATTCCTTATTAACTGAAACTTAGAATTCAGTACTGCTTGTAATAGTAGTGACATTTAAAGACAGGTGTTAAAAGCCTTTGGCTTCAACTTTTTTAAATTGAGTTGAAATTTGACATTACACAGCACCTCTTGGTCCTAGTAGTTACTAATAAATCAACACAAAGGCTTTCATGATCTTAAGCATTGACAATTATTCCCAGTGGTCTCATTACAAAAATTTCCAGAAGAATTTAGCTTATTTATAGACACATAGAACAACACTGTATACTGATTGCATTATTCAAGACTGTGACTGCTGGCACCTACTTTCATCAGAAAGGCTCCAAAAGTATTTGCAGCAGGTCCAATGGCAAACTGAATCAGGCAATCTTGCAATAGCTTTACTGTTTTTAGAATCTATAGGAAATACAATGCAGTATTCCCTGTAGTCAGCTCACAGAAAAAAACAAACTAAATTTGGGGTGATTTAGTAGGCCAACAAAAATATATTAAAATTTTGTTGATATTTTGTCAACTCACCACCTCAGACTTAGAAACACTATGTTAGGTATCAAGACAAATAACTTTTCTTCCCATGAATACCAGTTAATTCCAATTAATACCAAGTGAAAAAGCAATTTTTCACTGGCCTCAAGCAAGACTGATCTTGGTATTAAATCTTAACTGCAAAACAGCAGTCCAACCATCTCAGGTTATGGCAACCATCAGTCCACAGCAGCTCTTTGGTGACCTTGCTCATCTGCTTCAACTATGCCTATAAGAACAACCATCTGAGTTTACATTAAAGAAGCAGCAAAGATGGAAAATGTGCTGCTTTGGGGGAAAGAGCTTTGAAGTGGACTTGCCACAACCTTGACTTTAAGGGTGTGCACCCCAAGAAAGTAAAAAAAAACTTTTAAACAGGGAAAAAAGATAAAAACAGACCAATGACATTTTAAAAACAGTTTTTAAAAAAGTTTGAAGCTACTAAATCAAGATAAAATAACTATAAAATGCTTTATAACAGAACTTTCCACTGTGTCCTTGCAGGTGAGCCCTTGCTTACTGGACTGATTTCAAACAAATAAGTTATTTCAAGTGTTGCAGCAAATTTTACCCAATTCTGTTTGCTTCTTAGGAAGATCACTTCAGAGATGTAGCTCTAAACCTGCATCCTAATATTCAAACTAGTTTCGCCACACAGGGATTCCACAGGCCTCTGCAATCTCTGATTCATTCCTAGATTAGCCAGTAGCTTCCCTGAGTTTAGTGTCAGAGCTTGGGTAAGTGAAGTACAGGTTCTGTTGTCTCAAGGACCACACAAGCAACCTGGAATACACAAGTGCATATGACCAGATGGGAGGCATTTCAGGATAAGACAACTGATACGAAGACCACACTCTTAGGATCTTTGACAGGTCTTGTCCATCAAGAGAAGTTCCTGATTACAGGAAAAAGGCAAACACCACACCCACCTTCAGTCGGACCTGAATAAATTCATTAAGACTCACTAAGTTTATGGAGCAAATTTTCACAGAAACCATGCCCAGGCCTGCGAAGAACAGGAAGGAAATTGAGAATAACTGGGAACTAACAAACTTTACTGCCCTCAGTGATGCAGTGAGTGGTTCCATGATCTAGGGGACAGAAGAGTCATAGTTTACCTTGATTTTAGCAAGTCTTTCAGTGGTATTTCCTTACTATCTTTGTAGACAAAAAAACTCAGCACTGAAACTTACTGAAATAAGTTTATTGGTGACAAGAGGACTAAAGGGCTGCAGAAAAGGTCAAGGAAGGATCTAACTGCTGTTTTTGACTATGTAAAGAAAAGGGAACAGAAAGCTGGACTTTTCTTGGTAGAGCAAAATGAAGATGACAATAGATAATGCACAAGAGCTGCAAATTCTGAACAGACATGATGTAAAGAACTTCATAGTGAGGGCAAACACTGAAATGGACTGCTGATTCACTGCCCTTGGAGATATTTAAAACATGACTGGACAAGAGCCCAAACAACATGAACTAAATTGTCCCTGCCTTGCACCATAATCTGGTTCAGATGACCTCCAGAAGCAAGTTAAATGCTATGATTTGCTCCATTTTCAAAGCAGTACCAAAATTCACTTGCTTCAGACAGCTACAACAGGAATTAGCTTACTGCTTGTGCAAGTGAACTGTTGGATCCATACCATCTGATTACTTACAGAGTCCTTTAGCATCTTCTAGAATGCTTTGCCAGTTTGAAATCCATGCATAGGAAGTGCAGACACAAGATATAATCCTAATCCTTCCCCATTTTCCCTTGGAAGAAATCTTAGCTCTTAGATACTGTCAGTCCTTGTGCTCTTAGCCCTCCACTGCACATTTACAAATGAGCCATACAGAGACAAATCAGCGATGGAATACAACATCATCACAGACTTTAGAATATGCACCCTCACAGCAACAGTACAAAAAAAAAAATCTATTTTTTGAGTATCGCTGGGATAATATATGTGTTCTTTCCCAAGAAAAGAATACTGTAATTTCCCTTCATTCTGTTTAAAACATCAATTCTGACTAAAATTCTCCTTTGAGAATAATTTTTATCCTTCAAGCTGAGAAAAATCAAACAGCTAGAAATTCCAACATGCAATTTGGCTTCATTTCCATACTGCTATGAAACTGCAGCATCTCTTACCATCATGCATGCACATCTGTTTATTCCAACTTAGAACAGGTTATCACACCTGATTCTTTGGTGGTGTCTGAATAACAATAATTTAGTAAAGCCTTATGCACTGGTCTGGAGAAAGTAATCCTACAGCTAGAACAGGAAGCCATGTCCTCTTTGCAACAATAAGACATAACCAAATGTTTCACTCACTCAGACTTAATGACAAGTGCCTGAAAAGTTCCTGTGCTGGTTTGGGCTGAAATTGAGTTAACTTTCTTCACAGTGACTAGTACTGGGCTATGTTTAGGATTTGTGCAGGGCACAGAGTTGATAATACAGTGATGTTTTTGTTATTGCTACACTGAGCTTACACAGAGCCAAGGCCTTTCCTGCTTTCCGTACTGCCACAGTGGCAAGGAAGTTGGGGAGCATGGGGGTTTGGGAAGAGACACAGTCAGGACAGGTAACCCATACTGATCAAAGGGATATTCCATACCATATGACATCATGCTCAGTATATAAGGTGGGAGGAAGAAGGAGGAAGGGAGGACATCTAGAGTGATGGTGTTTGTCTTCCCAAGGAACCGTTACACGTGATGGGGCTCTGCTCTCCTGGAGATGGCTGAACACCTCCTGTCTTTGGGAAGCAGTGAATTAATTCCTTGTTTTGTTTTGCTTGTGTGTGTGGCTTTTGCTTTCTCTGATAAACTGTCTTTATCTCAACCCATGAGTTTTTGTAGCTTTTACCCTTCTGATTCTCTCTGTCATCCCATTGGTGGGGGAGTGTGAGAGCAGCTGTGTGGGGCTTGGTTGCTAGCTGGGGTTAAACCACAACAGTTCTTAATTTCTTAAAACTCTGATGCAAAAAGAATTGTATTTTTTTCTAATTGCATTTCTCTAACTTGGAAATTTTGATTGCATTTTCTTTGTTTCTAGACCTGAAGTATTGTGAAATAACAGACTAATACACTGCAAAAACCCTTAATATTGTTGCAGAGCAAATTAAGAACAACATGAAAAGATTGTTAAAGCAAGCAAGAGCTAGCATGTGTCATGGTCAGTCTGGAGCTGTGCCTTAGCTGTCCGAGCAGCCAGCTGCCTAACAGAAGCAGCTGGGTTCCACCTGCCTTTCTGTCTGTGAAGTTTCCTGAGAGATCTGAAACAAACTTTGGCAATCCACCTCCTTCTTAGATTTGGTTGATGTGATGATCAGGTTCTAGGACTTTGGCAGCTGTCACTTAACACAGCTCAGCTATGTGCCATTTGTCTCAGGCCAAACAGCTACTTAACGTTTTCCATTATGCAGAATTTCATGTAAAAAGATTTCAAGCAAAAATACCAACTTTCTATCAAAAATTAAAACCCCTCACATTTGAAGAAAAATTTGCCTATAGCAGTGAATCCCCAAATAATTTTCAGGCTGTCTCTCCAAGAAAAACTGCTAATCTGTTGAACACTTTAATCGGGTTTTGCAGCTGTGTTGGATGACAATGAGCATCTTAACATGGTATTGTCCTACAGCACCACATGGGGTTTCTGAAGCAGTCATTCAGGGCTCTCTGCAACACACACTGCTGTAGCATTTAGATGTTCACTGAGGACCAGAGGGAATGGCAGGAAGCTGTGTCAGGAAAGGTTTAGGCTGGATATTAGGAAATGTTTCTTCACCCACAGGGTGAAGTGTCTGGGCACTGGAACAGGCTCACCAGGGAAGCGGTCATGCACCAAGGTTGCCACAGTTCAAGCAGTGTTTGGACAATGCTCTCAAGCACATGGTGTAGTTTTTGGGACTGTCCTGTGCAGGGCCAGGAGTTGGAGTTTGATGACCCTTGTGGGTCTCTTCCAACTCAGGACATTGAATGATTCTATATGTACTAGTCAGGTGGGGGTTGGTCTCTTCTCACAGATAACCAGCAGTAGGACAAGAGGGCACAGACTCAAGCTCTGCCAGGGGAGGTTTAGGTTAGATATTAGGAAGAAATTTTTTATGGAGAGAGTGCTCAGGCACTGGAATGTGCTGCCCAGGGAGGTGGTGGATTCACCATACCTGGATGTATTTAAGATGAGACTGAATGTGGCTCTTAGTACTATGCTCTAGTAACCTCAGTGGGGCTGGATTTGATGATCTTGGAGGTCTTTTCCAACCCGATTGATTCTATGATTCTGTGATTCTATGATGTTCTATACTGGCAATGACCCAAAGCACAGCACCCAGATGAGTGCGTTTTTGAGTACTACCTTACATTACAAGAACCTAATTCTGCTCATAGTTGTATATATACAACTCAACATGAATGTTGCATCCTGACAGCCAATGACAAAATCTGGTACAAAATATTTGAAAAGAATGGAAACATACAGGACTAAAAAATTCTCCAGATTTTATAAGTGAAGCAATGGAATAAAACCAGCTGCATTCATAACCACATAAAAACATTATGCATTAATGTCCCTAATCTCAGGAAAAATATTGGGAATATTGGCGTAACGGAAAAGCTACAGGGCACCCGGGAGTGAACGACCCACACAATGTAATTAAACCCAGTACTAAATAAGCCACTGGAAAGGAACAAACACAAGGAGGTTATTTATTAAAAGGTATATAATACTCTCAACATGCAAACTGGCAGCCACAAATTAAGCTCAGAAGAATTACCTTCTTGGTTTTCAAACTGTTCTGACAACAGATGGTAGCAGCAGCCCACACTGCAAACGGCTTTGATTTCAGGCTTGGCAGTAAAAATTCGTAGTGTATTTGCTGCAAGATCTCCACATGTATGTAGACCCACAATCATACAGTTCTAAGAAAAAGAAAAAAATAAAGCAGCAATAAAGCATCTCCCTCATCAACTGAAAGCGCATGAATAACAACAAACTCCAAAACCCAAACATGCTGCAGTTAGTTAGTTTTAGGATAGAAATACACAGCTCCATGAGGGTTCCTGCTGTTCTTGTCTAGAATTTTTCAATGCTAATGAAAGATCTTCAGTGCTAAGAAAACATGGTGAAAACCAGTCATGAGGCAGGAGAAGTTTAAGACCATGAATAACAGCTGCATGGGAGAGAACATCTACATGTTGACTGGACACAGGCCGTTTTCTCTTGTCTTTCCTAGCTTTCCTGTTCTTGCTATGAGTACCACTGCTACCTCCTTTTCTTACTTCAGATTTATTGCTGAACCTATCTATAGCATTTCTGCTATTTTAAATTGCAGAGATCAAACCCACTTCCTAAAAACAGGTGCAAGGTGAAGAGCAGGTTTTGTTATTTTCAAAACTGAAGTACTGACACAGTTTTGCAGTATGCCTGCTACTATTCAACAGCAAATGGGCATTTTATTCCTCAGCACAAAGTAAGTACTTCAGCTTCAGATGCTCTGTTCTTCTGTCCATTCTATTTCCTGATTTCCTTTTCCCACAATTTCCATTTTCCCTCCATTGCTCCATCAAAATTCAAAACAAGATACTTCACTTTTTGCATTTTCAGTTGGAATCTGCATGGTAAACATGGTGTTGCTTTGAATTTCAGCCGCAACCTAACCTGGCCTTGAACATTTCTGGGGATGGGGCATCCACAATTTCTCTGGCCAACCTATTCCAGTGCCTTATCACCCTCACAGGGTAGTGAGATGGAATCAGAATTTCTTTCTAGTGTCTATCTAATCTAAATCTATCTGTCTTCATCTTAAAGGACATTACTCTTTGTCATATCATTATATGCCCTTGTAAAAATTCCCTCCCCAGCCTCCTTGTAGGTCCTGGGATGGGGCATCCACAATTTCTCTGGCCAACCTATTCCAGTGCCTTATCACCCTCACAGGGTAGTGAGATGGAATCAGAATTTCTTTCTAGTGTCTATCTAATCTAAATCTATCTGTCTTCATCTTAAAGGACATTACTCTTTGTCATATCATTATATGCCCTTGTAAAAATTCCCTCCCCAGCCTCCTTGTAGGTCCTGAAAGCTGCTAGAAGGTCTACCCAGAGCCTTCTCTTCTCCAGGTTATCAACAAGAAATTAGCCCAGGGTCATTAACTGGGATACCTTTCTATAACCTCTCTATTCTTATCTGATTTTCTCACCCATCTGTATTATATAGTGCATGCATGTGTGAGGCAATAAATCAACAGTATTTTTTTTTTTATATAAAGAAAGGCAGCGATGTAAGATTTCTTCTACTTCTTACATCAACAAATTACATGCTAAGAGAATACAAAATCCAACTGTGCAAATGTAAAGGTATATGTTTCATCAACAAACCCTGCTGCTCAGGGTATCTTTTGCAGATAGATATGAGCTTGCTCCACACATTCTTGGACACTCAGTAGCATTTTATTAGCATTTATTATCCATCTCATAAATTCTAAAGGCTGCTTCAAAATAATCCCAACACACATACTGAAACAGAAAAACAATCTGTATCTGCTAGACATACTTCTGCTACCTGGCTGAAAACCATTATTGGGCCAGAATATTCATTTACACCACAGACAGCACTCAATGCACACTCATCAAACATTATGAAAATATGTAAAGACAATATAAAGACAATGGACAACCTAAATATAGCAAATATTAAGAGTAAAATAACCTGCAGGTCTGCTATGATGTCACTGAGTTCTGTTTCTGCAGTGATGCAAGAGGTCAATGGAAAATACAGGTTTGATTCACTCAACTTGCTTGCTTTAGTCTTGAGGGATGTTATTTTTCTTTGCACTTTTTGCTCTTCACAGAGTTCCCCACAGTCACAATGAGATGAAGAAGAAAGTTCTACAGCATCAGCAGGCAGAACGTTTAGAATATCAAGAACCTCTTCAGAAAGTTTTCTCTCATGAGATTGTGTCCGAGTCGCCATATCAGCATCTGTTTCTATGCTGGTTTCAGATGTAGCCATTTCTGTGAAACCACAAGAAGGAATGAAATCTTGGGTAATCGCTTGGTCCTGACTTTGAAGGCTGTTAGCATTATTTAAGAGTGTTTCATTGATTGTTTTATATTTAGTTTCACTTTCTGCTGGCCTGTCATTTGCCTTTTCCAAACTCTGGCTTTTGAGGTTTGCTCTTCCTCGACTCTGATATGCTCTCCAGTGTTTCCTCAATTTTCTATTCCTTTCATGAGCACCATTCGTGTTGGAGTTTGAGGAATCAATTCCATAAACTTGTAAGTTATATTGCATGGACAAAAATGAACTCAGGTAGCCTTTTCCAGAACCTATATCAATCACCTAGATAGTGGAGAAAAAAAAAAAAAGAAAATTTGCTATATTAATAAGTAACAAGGCACACTTTGAATGCAAAACAATTCCCTAAAAATTTAAGAATGGATTGAATAACTACGCTATCAGTATAATCCTTCCCATTGCACTTAGTTCTTTCTCTCTGTTGGTCCACCTTCTGACTTTAAACCACAGAATTATGTCTTAAATGATTTGCTCCAGAAAAGAGACCCTGCAATGTTTATACAATGCCTATGTCCTGACTCTTCTTGGAAAGACTTTCAGTACATTGCTCAACACAGAACTTCCTTCTGCTAATGAAAATAACCATAAACCACCAGCAACTCCACCTGCCCTTGCTAAACTGGGTCAGGATATAGTTAGCAAGTAAACTGCTCACAGTATTCAGCTTTAAGCACCTAAGTCCCATACTGAGGAGCCTAATACCACTAGGTCTACAGGAAAAAAGTGTCTTCAGCATCACTGCCTAATTTAATCACTTCAGATGTGACCTAAAGACAGGTCATACTGATACACCCTTTTATGTCAGAATGTGTATTTCTACTGCTTTCCCATTCTGTGAAATAGATCCATAGAGCTTTGTTTAATGTGAGGATGCTTTTGCAATAAAACAAAGGAGCTTATAATGTCACATGGACTTTCCAGTGCCTGTCCTGGAGAAAAGAGTGATAGCTGACAGTTTCATTTGTCTCACAGCTGATGGCACGTGTGAGTTCAGTGACTGATATAACACGGGAAAGAAAACCCTATACACAGAACCAGCAGAAACAATGGCAACCTGAAACCTTTCAGTACTTAATCACAGCTTTATACGATGTATGTTTTAATTTGTAATAAATACATAATAGTTTATGAGAAGTGGCACAGTGACATTTCTCTAAGGAGGGAAAATTATAATGCTCCCTTTTGTCCAGATATCTACCAAAAATTATACTGACTAGATATAATGAGTTCTTTGTAGGTGTTTCTGAAAGTGTTTTATACAAGAACATCTATATCTTGTTCTTGGTCTGATACACATTCATAAGAAAGCTTACACTGGTATTTCTAGGTCCAAATTGCAGCATACAGTACATTGATCCATCTTAAACTCAACTGCATAGTTTTTTGCCAGGTAAGAACACTCAGTACAGCAATTCTCTTACTGAATGAGAAAGACTCATTCCTTATTCTAAATAATAAGATGTAGATAGCCATGAAATTAAATAGAAAAATTTGAGCCAATGTCACTAAAAACTATGTAAAACAGTGGAAAAGACATGCTATTAGGTAAAAATTGTTTACCCAGGCTGCACATGGCTTACTAATCTGCAGTAATCATGTGATATTGCTGCATATTTGTAATCTAGGTATGCAACAACCATCAAATCCCTTGAAATAAAATCTGTACAGGAGCGGATTTAGTGAGATAGAATTTATATAATCCAAGCACACTTTTGAAAATGTAATTTATTTGTCACATATATCACAAACATTCTCCTCTGCTCAGCCTTGGTAACACCACATCTGAAGTTCCGTGTTCAGTTCTGGGCTCCTCAGTACAACAGAGACATGCAGCTCCTGGAGCAGGCCCAGTGGAGGGCAATGAAGATGATTAAGGGACTAGAGCACCTCACTTACAAGGAAAGGCTGTGGGATTTGGGCCTGTTCAGTCTCAAGAAGAGGTGACTGAGAGGGAACCTCAGCAATGTCTCTAAGTATCTGAAGGGAGAGTGTTAAGAGGATGGAGCCAGGCTCCTCCCAATGGTGCCAATGAATAGGACAAGAGGCAATGGGCAGAAACTGAAGCACAGGAAGTACCACCTGAATATGATGACTAACTTCTTTACTGTGCAGGTGACCACACACTGGAACAGATTGCCCAGAGAGGTCGTGGATTCTCCTTCACTGGACATATTTCAGAACCATCTGGACACAATTCTGTGCAGGACAACCCTGCTTGAGCAGGGAGGTTGGGCCAGATGACCCACTGCGATCCCTTCCAACCTTACCCATTTGGTGATTCTGTGATTAAAAAGGAAAGCAAAGAAAAATGTTCAAGGAATAATTTTACCCACTGTTACATGTAACAGATATTACTATTATGCAGAATATGCACACTTCCACTCCTTCAAGTTTTAATGATTTCTGTGAGAAGCAGCACTTGGGCACAAGAGAGAGCTTTCCTAGCCCCTAAGTGTGACCTCTAGTGGCTGTAGAGACAAGCTGCAGTTTGGATTTCTTCAGTTGTTTCAAAGTAAAAAGAACACAGCGATACATTGTTAAATCAGCACTGGGAGAACAGTTTTAAAACCAAAGGAAAAATTGACCACAAATAAGCAGGCAATGATCTTGTACTAAACAAATAGGCTGCATTAAGTTATTCCCTGCTTTACCTTCCCTTGATTACATAAGGAAAGGTAATCAGCAATCCATAGCATATCTGTCAACCATGAACTTTTAAAATGAAATTTCCATGATACAATAAACTCCAAAGGTCTTGTCCACAGTGAGTTGGGTACTAAGTTTAAACGCAGTTTCTGGCACAGTGCAATCAAGAACTCTGTCTCCAGAAGCATTCCAACATTTCCCAGCTCCAAATCACAAATGTAATGGATGCTGAATGCAGGGTTATATCATACTTACATTACACATTGCAAGTCTTGCTGCACGTGCTGCAATTTCCAAGGAAAACTTTGACAAATACATTAAAGAAAATAAATGTGCACTTAAGCAAAGAGGAATCAACACTGGCTTCTTTTCAGAGTTTAATCAAGAACTTCTTTAAAAAATAAAGTTCCACTTGTATGATAGGAACTGTGCTTAAAAGGGGCAGTAAACAACTGAAAACCTCAAAACCTTTAGTTAGTTTGCTTTAATGTTTTAATTCAAATCATTAACCTATAAGTGATTATGGTGGTAATAAAATTTTTGGTTTTATTCTTATTTGACTATTTATTTGCTGCATTATAAAACACTGACAGAGGGCAATATCCTGTACCACCCACTATACATTGTGGGTATGGAGGTGAAACGGAGGGCATTTTTCAGGACATCAGTGACCTGTAATATCTGAAAAAAAAACACCCTGAGGACACATGCTGTCGTAAAACATGTGTTGTGCTTTCATAGCTCCATATTTTTTAATTTAGTGCTGCATATATTTTATTTTGCAAGAAAGACAGAAATGAATCAATAAGGAAAAATTCCCCTAAAACTTTATAATTGCTTTATTTTTTTAAGTTGAAAGAAAACCAAAACAAAAGGAGCTGCTTTTTAATAACTGAGAAGGGAGGGTTTTTTTAAAGTAACAGGAAAGCTCTTTTCATATATTAGGGATTTGTAACTTTGCACAAATGAATGTTGTTATGATGTATGACTAAAATGGAAAAAAGTTAATATAAAGCAGTCAGCATTTCATATTCAGTGATATACTGCAATAATATTTTTCACTAAATGTTACAATTTTTTCAAAAAGAAAACAGAAAATAATCCTGTGTATAAGGATACTCCAAGCCATCTGATAAAAGTGCATAATCACTGGATGAAATTGCAGCATATTTACAGATACTTAACAATGATTGGTTTGAGATTTTATTAGTAACCAGCTACACTGAAACTACAGTAAGTCATTAAGAGAGTTTTACTTTTTAACTCTCTGAACATGGGTTTTCTATTCCTTTAATTCCTGAATCTCACAGGAACTATTTAAATCTAAATGAAAATGCTATATGAAACACCACCTTCCAGCAAATGCAGAGAACATTTAGCATTGCATTAGAAGCAAACTATATTTTCCTACAACTCTTTCAGTACGTAAAAGTCTTCAATCCTTGAACAACTAATACTTGCCTGAAACAAAAGGTAAGCAAGGCAAAAAACATGCTCATGCTAGAATAAAAGACTTTTACAAATCTGCTGCTACAGAGCATATCTTTGCAGAGCACATCCACTTTAAGGCTGTGGAGAGCACTCACACTTGCCCCTGTGGCTGGCTCTTAAAGAGCTGCTGGAGAGATCACCTTCCATCTCTGTGAGTGATCACAGATGCTCATAAACTGATTGTCTCTCATCCAGTTATACTTGGCCTTAATTGTGCTCTCTATTTACTTGGTAATCCCAGTTGTAAGAAGACAGCCTAAAACTTTGCCTTCATCAGTCGTTCCTCACAAAACAGATGGTCAGGATTCAAAGTTTTGATCTCTGTTTCCAAGGATGCCACAGGCCTGACCCAAACCTATCAGAGTACTGCATCATTTACTTATCTAAATTAAACTCAGTCTGAGCCAAATGACCTCCTAAGCAAAGTTCAGCTTCAGCAATTCAGAGCTGAATCCAAGTTTTGGGGCCTGCCCTGTGGTGGTAGCACGAGCAACTTGGGATGCTGCAGGTACATTAATTTTGAACTTATACTCAGACATATTTACTTAAGAAAAAAAAAGCTGAGAGAATATGATCAGCATAAAATCTGGGCAGATCCCTTATTAATCTTTGGTTTTAAACAAATACAGTTTGTTCTCCACAAATCTTTGTGGGAATGAATATTAGCCTGAAGGAAACTAGTCTCCATTTACACTTACAGACCCTTGCACAGAAAGCAAGCACAGCTCAGATGTAAAAAAGAATCAAAGTGCAGTGTCCAGAGCCACTGGCTATCTCTACTTTTAAACCAGAATGAACCTTCATTAGCTAGTTACTAGCATCATGGAGATTAAAACAAATAAACATACTCAGCTCACCCAGATACTGAAAAATCAACCACAACATAGTCTAAGGCATTGAATCTAACAGAAAATTTAACACTGAAGAAAGCTTACAGAAAAATTGTATGTATGCAAACCAAGGAAATAGTATTGGTGTACTTCTGCCTATTAGGATGTGAAATACAGTACTCAAAAAAGTCAAATATTGTTGGGATGCTTGTGACTTGTCAACAGGTCCATAAATAAACCTCTACAAGGTTTTAATGACCTAGTGCACAGTGCAATCATGACTACATGTTCTAAATAAAAAAGCAATCAAATGAGAGATTCCTTGAGAAAGGAATCCTGCAGTGCTTCACCATCCAAGGATGAACTTGCCATCTGATGTATGAAATGGCCAATTCACAGTGTAATTGTTGGGTGATAATGGTGTTGGGCATCCAGATCTCATACATATTCTACCAAATATATTTCATGCACACTGTGCTACATTAATCTCTGCTTAATGACTCTTTTCAGGTCATAACTAAATTTCTAATTCCTTCCTATGACAAAAAAGGTCATCACTAAATGCCTAATTGATAGATCTCAATCCATGTTAAATAAAGCTGAACAGTATTAAACAATAGGAAGTAATTTAAATCTTGTGCCAGAATAAGATGAGCTTACAAAATTTCTCAAGATATTCTGCTTTGGTGTCCATGTGGCACTCTTGTCTGCCTGACAAGGCAGATCTCCTACTGATGCTTATGGAAAATTGTCAGCAATATAATACTGATAAACAAGGCAGTACCCATCCATACCAAAAAGCAGTACAGTTTTCAGCTGCACAACATATAGAGGATGATCGTAATTTCTTAAAACTATTTATGAGTGATTATGAGTCACTGAAAGGCAACTCCTTTGGAACAGTAAATTTGTAAACAAAATTGTCCTTCAGCTTGGCCCAAAAGGCCCTTCTTTAGCTACAATTTTGTACAGGAAAAATAAGAAGAGCAGTGACAGGATAACAAAATGATGTATTTGCACACAATAAGGAGAATTCAGAAGGTACCTGGTAACATACAGAAAGAAAAGCTTTCTTACCTGCTTTATACCACAGTAATTTGCTATGTTGTCTACGAGTTCTGACATCACCTGCACTTCATGTGATTTCTTATTATTCATAAACTCATCCGGTTTGATACCTGTATCAGATTTAAGAAAATAAATACACATTAACATAACCCACAGTAATAAACATTTGTGATCACTCAGGAAACCCCCATATATATATATATATATATACACCTCTCTAATATATATATTTTAAGGATAGTAATTTTTAATTTAAAACTCAGTATTACAAGACTAAACTTCTGAATTATGGGTGAATTAGTAAAATGCAACACACTGTAAAACTCAGTTTTTTTAATATGTAGTACATCTAATACCTGACCAGATATTAGACAACAGCTACTACTATAAATATTTCTTCCTGTTCTTTATATAATATCTATTTTTGTCTCATTTATCACATTTACCTTTACATAAATAAAATATGAGGGCAGGAACAATTAATAATCACAGTACAGCTTGTTAATGCTACAGATTTGCTCACAATATCAAGTGGAAGATATTTCAATTAAAAGTTATGAGTGATGCTGGGAAAATTCAAAGGAAAATGCACTTTCATTTTCTTTTTTTACCCTATGGATGGATTATAGAACTGTTACACTTTTATGGTAGAAAATCACACATTTCAGTGATTCTGGAGAATGTGTTAATGTCAATCTCTATCAGGGTTTACTGCTTGTGGAGAATAGAAGGCACCCCCTTGCAAATCTGTATGTCTCCCAGCCAAAGAGGAGCTCAGAAGTTGCTCCCTTGGAAGAAACCCACACATTTCTCGTAGAGGGCCAATGCTACAGTACATTTGGCTCTAGTTAAATTGATGGAAAATTTTTTAAGCCTGAGTGAGGATAGAAGAAACTGGATCATTACTGATGAACATGCTCCTAGAAACCAAGACTTTTATACATGACTAGGCAGATTAATATACTTTCCCATTCTCTGCTTTTTTCACAGTAAGTGTTCATCTGTCCAGAAACTGATCATTAGGCAAAAGCTATGTTCATTCGTGGATCAGATCATGCTGGGAACAGAGCCAAGTGTGTTACTTCTTTAAAAGAGAGTAGGGAATTGAACTGAGCTCATAAGAAACTCAGTGTTTTCTCGATTTTTCCCAAGCCCCACAGGATGTCTCTATTTCTTAAACATCTGGGGTTTTTATAATAAACTGTTATGACAATACTTAAAAACTAATATAGACTCTATGAACTGGCAAAAGAAAATATAGACTAAAAGACTTAAACCAAAACAAATAGCAGAAACAAGCGTTTGTCATTTCACTGAAGATTCGCCTTAACTTTAAAATTGTGAAGATTTACTCAGTGTCCTAAAAAGCTCTTAATTTTTAAGCATTTCAAATTAAAGAAAAACAGACAGGAAAATAATTTAAAAAAGAGAAAAGGTCTCTCTTTTTGTTTATATTTGAACATTTTTATGTCTGGATAGGCTCATCAGAAGAAGAAGCAGAATCAGAACAGGATGAAACAGACATTTAACATCTTGACAGAAATAAAAGTTGTTTGACAGTTCTCCAAAGCAGCACTGTCACTTTGAATGATGACCACATATTGCACCTTTGCTCTTTTCTACATTATGAACTCCGAAGACTGAATGGGGTAATGCTAGAGAAAGTACTACTGCAGAGAGTACTTAATCCAAATTAAGTATTTCAGACATGGTAGAAATCCAGAAATATGACCCAACTTAGAAAAGCTGAGATTCCAGATAGAAAAAACATAATTTGTTTATAATTGCATATAAATATTATTTATCCCCGTAGCTAATAAAGTTTCTTCAGCAACTTCTTTTCCTGCTTTCTGCAAGTATGAACACATTGCTTATATTTCAGCTCAGGGAAACTGATACTGTTTGCAGATACTTATGGGTTTTTAATAAACTTTATTGTTGCTGTGTCTTCTGCAAAATTCTGATAGATGTTTATATTATTTTGAAAAACAAGCACGTACATTACCAATTCATACAAAAAGTGATTTTGGGGACTGTTTTATATTTCCAAAACAGCTGAGAACTTGAATAAAAAAAAAGTATACTAGTTTTACACAAACCGTGTAAATTCTTTCTGCTATCACAAAATTACTTTCTTGAAACAAATAATTATAGATGTAGATTTGCTTATTATGTCTACAACTGATGCAGGCAGAACAAACACTATTTTGAAAAACCATCAGAAATGTAGAGAAGTGTCTCCTTTTGTAATGAAAAAATAAAGTGGGGGTCAAATACTGTACAGAAGTACCTAGGACAAAATAGAGTAACAGAAAGCTTAATGTTATTAATTTTAGCTGATATTGATATTGTTGCTTACTTCCATTGTGATCTCCTGGTATGGGCACCTGTTTTCCATCTGAAAAACTGCTTCAACTCTATAGTGCCACTTACAGTTCCATCTTTAGTTGTGAAGCTGAACAAATTGAGGAGAGACTGTCTTTTACACAGGGCTAACACAGACCTTTCTAAGATCTCCTATGGCAGGGGTTTTATATCCCAGCTACCTGGGGAAATTCGGATACCAGATAAACAGGAAGACATTCACAGTACATACTATACAATATCACCTATGCAGAGGTTATACCAGTGTGACTTAATTCAATAAGCCAGAGCAAGAAACTGGGATAACCATATACTCAAAAAAACCCCATTAAGGCAGAGTGATATTCCAGCACATGGAATTTAAAGATGGATTTGTTAACAGTCACTGCATGGCATGAGTACTACCTTGGCCATAACCCCATTGCAAAGGTAGAGTACTCTCAATCCAACCCTCACTTCTTATATCAGATACGAACTCTGTTAAAAGAGAATCTTTCTCTGCTGGGTTCCTCCCCTTGGGCCAGGCTCTTCTGGACCCCTTATGCTCAGTGCAAGCAACCTGATGGTGCAATCAAGACCAGTGACCTTTGTGAGGAAGCAGCAGGGAACACGCTTTAGATCAGAACTGCATTGTGAGTAGTTGTGCCCACACATGCTTAAAAAGTTTGTGCTTACCAATTATTCCCAGGAAGGATAGCAATATATCTACATTAAGACACTGAAGAAGTTGGAGAACTATGCAAGTATGCAAACTGTGGGAACAGGCTCAAAAGTCAGTTTGTCTTAGAAGAAGAAAATGTATTAAGAACATCTGAAACATACATGGAATTATCCTGATGAACATTTTTTGGAATATAAGCAAGGCCATTGTAAAGTTGCTAGTTTTTTCAGACTTAAACTTCTCTTGACTTGCAAGCTTTAGCATGTCAGGAAACAAACATATCTTCTGAAACACAGAATAAAGTCCAAAAGTATCTAAAATAGATTAAAGGGCTCAACTTTCATTTGGCAACTTGCACATTATGAATCTATTGCTTGGTATTTTGCTTCTGCCAAATGATTACCAGAAACTTCAATTAAGTTAATTTAACTGATACTTACTGCCAATTCAGCACAAAGATTTTGAATTATAATACTATTGTATACATTTGGAACACATTTTATTTTTCCTATGAAGTACAGTTTAGAAGTCTTGCATCACAAACCCAGGCCCCAGTTACCCAACCAGCACCACTCCTGCAACACAGAGAGCAAAATATTCAGCAACTGCCCTGTTCCTGATGCTCCATTCTGCATGACAAGAAGATGAGAGAATCCTCAAAGTTTTGTCTAAGAAAGCTAATCCACCTATGAACTCAAGTACAAGGAAGAATAAGGGAATTACAGAAAATTAAGAGGAACACAGGGAATAAGAGCGTCATAAAAATTAAAAGAGCTAGAAAGCCATAGAGGAAAAAATAAAGCAGCATGCAGTGTTCAAGTTAGAAAAAGGACTTCTGATGAACGAACAGCACAAGGAAAGAAGCCAGAAAGTAAGACAAATGCACAACAAATTGTTAAGACTATCTTAGCCATGGCATTTTAGCACTTCTAAAAAAACCTGGGGAGCCAACCATGGAAAATGGCAAAATTGGAAAGAGATCACTGTAGAAAATGGGAGGGATGCCCAACATTTATATAATGATGCTATCCCTTAGGATTAGAAACATCAGAGTTTTAACATATTACAGAGATAAAACACATAGAAGGCAGAGAGCTGCTCAGTCTGTCTCTTAAAAACTAATGAGAAATCTCAAAGACAGTGATAAATCTAGAAAGACTGAGAACTCCATGAATAGCACATTTGCAGTGAAAATGACAGCAGACCAAGTAAGGATAAATGCCAGTTTATCATCTGATTCAGAAAATTAATCTCAGGGTTCAACCTGATGCCAATTTGAGAGTGTTTTAATTCAATTTCTTTTAATACAGATAATGAGATTATTATGACATTTAATTGGTTTTAGTCTAAAACATACAGAATTAAGAAAATCTTTTTTTAAGACATCAAAGATTTGCTATATTTTAGAGTGATACTAAATGCCAGTTTATCATCTGATTCAGAAAATTAATCTCAGGGTTCAACCTGATGCCAATTTGAGAGTGTTTTAATTCAATTTCTTTTAATACAGATAATGAGATTATTATGACATTTAATTGGTTTTAGTCTAAAACATACAGAATTAAGAAAATCTTTTTTTAAGACATCAAAGATTTGCTATATTTTAGAGTGATACTAAAAA